AAGGAGGAAGAGAGGAAGAAGAAAAGGAAGGAGAAACAGAGGAGAAGAAGAAAAGCAAGTAGGAAGAATTGAAGGGCAAGGCTTTTCTCCTCAGCGTCTTACTCAGATTTTGTGTTCACAGGAGCCAACCCCTGTCCACGTGTTGGAATCCTCCCACCCTGACTCGTACAGATCCTGAGGAAAGAGCCTGGTCCTACAGTGAAAGCCAGGGTGGCAGAGTTAAAAGGTCAGTTCCCATGTGAAGAACAGCCTTTATCTTCTCTTGCATTTTCTGGATTCCGGGTGCTGGTGGGAAAAGAAGAGGATGGTTTTCTAGCCTCAGAGAGGAAAGTGTCACATTTACTCTCTGTGCCAGGGGGAGCCCAGCCAGTCTACACCGCTGCCCTGGCTAAAAGATAAGGGGCCCACACTGGCCACAGCTGACCAACGACACTGCACAAGAATGAAATCAAACAGCATGTGGTAAAGTTAATTCATTAGAGTCGCTTATTTTACTTGCAAAATCTTTTCCTCATCTTTTTAAGGTCTCTCGTTAATTGCTTGAAACTTGCTGTTGGTTCCATTTCTCACCTTAGCAACACAAACTGAAGTCTTGCCTTCTTGTCCTTCTACTAGGTCACTAGTGTGTGTAATGGATTATAGCGCATTCACAGGATCCTGCCTCCCACTTCTTTTAGAAGGACCAGCCAGAGATAAATAAGCAGAAATTCAGAGGGGAGGAAATCAAAGGTCAGCCGTTGGCTCCAGCCTAAAGCACAAGGCCCTCAGAGGTCTGTGCTGGAATACAAGGTCTCATCACACAATTAACAATGTCACACTTTCCTTTTGATCTGGAATAAATGGCATGGATATCATTAATTAAAACCTGGGCTGAGTGGTGAAAGAAGCTATGACTACTAAGTATGATTCCTCACTTAGAATTGACAGCTGCAGTTTAAATGAAAATAGAAATATTTTAAAATTTTCTGAAAAGTTATTCCAAGACTGTTTTGTAAGCTGAGCTCTCGATGAGTCAGAACCTTCTTGGGTGGAATTACTTAAAATGTACACATCTGCTCTCACTCCACCAGATCAACAGAACTAGAATCTAGGAAAGTAAGTTAAACAAAATTGTACTTTTTTCTTAGTGCTGAAGATCAGACCCAACAACTTGACCACTGAGCTGTATCCCCAGGACTTAATAAAACAGAAAGGTAAACAAGCTATTCAGGTCATTTTTATGTATCCCAAAGCTTGTGTCAAAGAAACCATGTAGCACACTATAATATGAGTAGATATTGCTGTAGTTTGGATCTTGAATGATCCTCAAAGGCCTGCATGTTGAAAGCTTCGTCTCCAGCCCATGATGCTACTGGGAGGTAGTAGAACATTTCAGAGGTGGGGCCTAGTGGGAGGAAGTTAGGTCATTGGAGAGGACCCTCCAAGGGGAGGAGGTTAGGTCACTGGGTCCCCAGACCCCATCTGGCTCTTTGCTTCCTGGCCCAAGGAAATGCACAGACATCCTCTATTGCATACCAGCTGCCATGTTATTCCAACTCTCCCTACCATGCCTCTGTGAACTTCTCTTCTTTTTCTTTCTATATTTGACTAACTTAAATAACTTTTGTTCTCTTTACCTCAGTCTTCCCTAACCCTAGACACAGGCCTCATATTTCTGAAGTCTAGTGTAGATCCTAGAGTTTGTATTACATAAGTGAAATAATTACTTAAAGCTCCTCAGACTTTAAAAAAGAAAAGCTTCACACCTAGAGACAGAAACTCAATATCTAAGAAGTTAAATTTAATCAAATAGCATTGCTTCATAAAACTAAATGAGTATCATCTTCCTTCAGTTAAAATATGACCAGTAAGTCTATAAGCAATGGTTGAGATCTCATTATCCCAGAAATCAGTGATTCAACTGGGAGCGATGGAGAGAGACTCTCATGGGACAGTTGGTGATGGTCTGAAGGCGTTTTGGGTTGTCATACCTGGGATGCTACAGGCATTCACAGGGCAGAGGTTGGGTGGTTGCCTAGGGACACAGTGCCCAGGACACCACCCAAAATGAGGAGTTATCTGTTCTGAAATGTCAAGTGCTGAGGTTGAGAAACCCTGCCATAAATCATAGGGCAGTTTTTTAAAAGGTCAGCCAGATTTCCTAAGATTAGATGAGAACTGGGTGACATTACAAATAAGAAATAAAACAGAAAAACTCTGGAAAACAAGAAGTAGAAGGTAGAGAGAAGAAATAAGAACTTGAGGTTCAGACTGTGAGTGTAGCTTCATGGCAGAATGCTTACCCAGCATGCAGGAGACCCTGAGTGCAAAATGCAGTGAGTCCCCCTACCCCAACAAAAGAACTGAGAGTTTTTTGGGTAGTTTGACACTTGGAAAAAGGGAAATGAAACTTATACTAAACACTGACATCGTGGTCACTGTTAGCTTTGAATTCACTCTTCCTTTATCCCAAAATGTAAGGTTTTAGGTGGGTGTCTGACCACCCCAGCATACACTACATATCCCAGCTGCCCCTGCATAGACATTCCCATGTGACCTTGTTCTCACCAATGGAATGTGAGCTGAAGGACATGTGTAATGTCCATCTTAACAGGAAATTTCATCCTCAAATTTCTTCTCCTTCTTAGAGAGCCAGGCCACAGAAATGCCATAAGCCAGCCTCAGCCATACAGATATAAACAGTGCTCTAGAGCAGAGGTCAGTGAGCTTTATCCTAAAGATCAAGATACAATTATTCTAGGCTTTGTGGTCCATTTGTTTTTTGTTGCGGCCACTCAACTCTACCTACTAAAGCAGCTGTAGAAGGCATGTTATCAAATGGGCCTGAGCTGTATCCCAGTAAAATTTTGTTTACAAAAGAAATCCAAGAGTCATCTTTAATACGAGGCAGCCATCAAGGATGACAGAAGAACAAAATGAAAGGGTCATAGGTCTCTGGTGCACTTCACTGAGTAAAATACTCCATCAAATTAAACCTTTATCAGGGCCTTTTAGCAGGGCAGGAAATGGAATGTCCCTATTCGCACACTAAGTTTCTGGGAATCTTTGTAATGGCCACATAACCATTATCCTCATGGACTATACTTTTGAGACTGAGTTAGAAACCTTACATATTTTTTTCATTTAATATTTATAAAGACCTGTTAAGATAAGTATTATTCTATTTTATAGAGAAGAAACGGAGGTAAGAAATGGTCAGCTTGGGATTTGTGATTTTATTTCAGGTCTATCTTCAAGATCACAGACTCTTAAAAAAAAAAAAAGGCAAGGTCTGACACTCACTGGTTTTTTGCAGTAGCCAATCAAGACACGTTTGTGGATCTAAGATGTTTTGCATCTTCCCTTCCTTCACAGGAAGGCAGCTGTACCAAGTGGGGTGAATTCTCTCCATGGAGCATGCAGGGACTGAACTTCCAAATCAGACACTGTCACCTAGTCCATCTCCACCCCTTTGGGGTCACCTTCAACATAATAAGCACAAATACTGCACTGGTCATGCCTCACGATGCAGAGAATTAGTCAAATGCCTTCTAAGTTAGCTGGAGTCAAAGATTCCGAGCATTCTGCTATCTTAGCTTTGTATTTAAACACTCAGGGACTACCTGCTCCTCCATGTGCTTTGAATCATGCTGTGAACAAGTGATTTAAAGTAACCACAAGATTATGCCCAGGAGGGCCTGTCAATATGTCTTGCTATCAATTGCCACTTCATATCAAGGCTAATGGAATGAAATGTAACAAGAAATTCTAGTCTGGAGGAAAATAAAAGCGTGGTTGTCCATTGATTAAATTTACCTGAAAGTCTGATGTATTCATTGACCAAATGTTATATATTTCCAAATGAGTCATGTGATTTGAAGAGGTTGCCAATAAAACACTCCTTTTCTTTTAGACAGAACGCTGAAAATGTTTGTTCTCTGGGTTGGTTCCTGTGATCCTCGGAACAGGCATTGCAGGAGCTCCAGGTATCCCAGTCCATGCTCTGGGGGCATTGAGCCCGTCTGTCCACAGGTCAGGACCCCACCCCCGTGGGCTGAGACCCAGGACCAGAAAGACTATGGCAGTGAACTGGCTCAATGCTCATGTTTCACAAATGAGGAGTCCTTTCTGCTGTACCATCTGTGTCAGATTTGTTAGTTTTTCATTCTGAAGGTCCCAAAGTCTCAGATGTACCCACAGGACTGCTTTCCAGTCCTTCTGGGGACCCCCAGCAGAAATTCCTTTCCTTTCCCTTTCCAGCTCGAGACCACCTGCACCTTTCCAATTTTCTTCATCGTCAAAGCCAACAGGTTGGCTCCTTCTGTCTCTTTCTCTGTCATACCACCTCCCTCTTACAAGGGGCCCTCTGTTTACACGGGGGCCATAGATAACCAAGACAACCTACCGATCTCTAGAACTCTAACTTGTCACACTTACAAAGTGCCTTTGGCCACATATGAGGTGTGATTGAACTATACCACAAATGTTTAAATTTTAAAAATTTATTACAATGAAAGATATATTACCATTAACTGCCCTCAAAATACTCCCCTTTGCTTTGAACAAACTCTGTCATTCTTGTCACATTTTGACACAGTTCTGGGAGCCCTCTTTAATGACTGTCTAACTAAGTGTATTTGGTGACTATATATATATATATGTATATGGTGAATACTGTTGCTGAGTGCCTTCCAACAGAAAGGCAGGTTTGTAAAAACACAACAGTGTGTCCTCATTCACTTTCTTTATTGGATCTGGCACTGTGAGACCTCTGGATCGTCCACAAAGTCAAGAAGTCTATGAAAGATGAACGTTCTGAGTCGATTCAGTGGTCCAGGCAGCCAAGACGGTACAGCTGAAGACTTCCCTGAAAGAGGACCTCCAGAGCTGCTTCGGAAAGTGGCAACAGTCACGGGATAAGTGTGTCTGAAGAAAAGGAGGAGATTTTGAGGGGGAATAATGGCAATGTCTCTTTTAAGTGTCATAAGTTTTTTTTTTTTAATTTCAATATTCACCTTATGTTTCCATCACATCTTGAAAGGTAGCCGAGGCACATGCTCCGGGCATCAGAACATAAAGATCTTCGGAGGAACATTACTCAGTCTCCCAGTCCGTCCAAAGCAGTTATGCTGTAAACAGCCACTGAAAATATTTGTCCTCGAGCTCAGTTGACAAACTCTCGGGTATCTTGTCAATCTCTGGGCGTGGGCACAGGGGTTGGGGGGCTGAGTCTGGGTCTGGCTTGGCCATTTAGCGGCTCTGTGGGCTGAATCAAACCATGAAAGAGTTGCTGATGTTGACAATGCATCAAAAACCTTAGAGCGATGGCAGGAAATGAGACGGGAGACAGAGTGAGAGAAGTGAAATGCCGCGCTGTGGAGTTCCATGCAAAATGTGAAAGCGGGCTCTCGCTCTCTCTCTCTCGCTCTCTCGCTCTCTCTCTCTCGCTCTCTCTCTCGCTCTCTCTCTCTCTCGCTCTCTCTCTCTCCTCTGCTGAGCTCACCCTGTGATTTCACACCCAGAATAGGGACACCAGGATAGCTGTGTGGAAAACGAATGAATGAGTGTCCAACTTCATGAACAGGGTTGGGTTAGACTTAACCTTGGCAGAGAGTCCGAATTCGGTAAGTTATTAGTCAGTAAGTGAATCAACTAATTCTGCTAGAGATGTGGTTTGTGGTTTTTATGACTTCCTCTTCAATAAAGGTTGCAAACTCAGATACCTGAGGAGCTGGAAGGCTCTATGAGTGAACGTGTGGCTGGACTAGGAGTCCTGTGAGTCCTATCCTTATTGCCATGGGGAATTTTGATCCCGTACAGTCACGTTTTCTGAATTTTTTTTAACTTAAAAAGACTCCCAAACTCCAGATTTCCATAGGAGACCACCAGATTTTCAATCATTTCTCAAATTATTTTAAAGGCCAACTGCAAGATCTGCTGGCCAAACTCAGCTCAAGCTCAAGCGTTCTTCCATGGTTCCTCCTCAGCATTTCTTAGTTTGCAGGGCAGCAAGAGGTGGGTGATGAAACGGACTTGGACTACTGGCTATCAGAAATAAAAATGGGAAGAAAAGTATGATTTCAGGCACCCATAAACAATATATCCTGTTGGCTTCTTCCCTAAAATAAATGCTAAGAAACTGAGAGGAGAATAATGATATCCTGCAGCCCCAGCACCCAGAAACACGGCCCCTCTTGTGAGGGTGGAGGTGTTACTGACAAATAAATTAGGCAGTGTCCCAGGGTCCAGATTCTAGAAAACTCATTCAAGTCTTCAACCTGGCCTATATGGTAAGAAACAGCTTAAAAATTGTGTATATCTTGATAAGTGAACACACATTACTATACATTTTATACTTCCTGGAATTTCTGAAGACAGAGTGTTACCAGTCCTCCCATTTTGACTCTCCTTGTATCCTCAGATTTGCTGGCTCAGTATGTTGTGACTGCTCTTTCTGGCACAGGTTTAATGAGACAGAAATTCAGAAGACATGAACTTCTGTGAGCTAATACCTCAGTTGGAGTGGTAGTTCCAGGCTGGAGCCCCATCTTTCTGGAAACTTTCAGTTGACTATAGATGCAGCCGTGAATGAGTAGGATAAGGGAGCTGGGTATGAAACAGCTCCAGGGCCTCCTTGACATGGTGGTCTCTCATATTGTGACTGAGTCTCATTGGGTGAAGCCACCTGCCTCTCCATGGATCATTTATGGCCTTTCGTGATGTCCACCAGCATCTTTCAAAAGTGAAAAAACCCAGAGTGCAAAGATCCAAGCAAGGAGATCAAAGAATTTGCTTCTTATTGATCTGGTCAGAATTATGGAGAGTGACTTCTTCAGCAAATCTCCCAACATAAGCACCCAAATATCGGTACCATTTCTGCCCAGTTCTGAGTTGTTCTGAACAATTCTGGAAGGATGCTGAGGAGGATTATTTCTGATCATAGACAAGTTCGGAAATATCTTGCTTTTTCATCTTTTGAATAAATGATTCATGGAATTCATGCATTTTAAGAAATTTAATGCTTTGTGGTTGTTTTCCTGGAACTCCCTGTTTCTGAACAGTCTGTAAAGACCAGTAATAAATATACTTAGCCATATAGCTAAGTGATTATCAGAATACCCTTATGTGTCTGTTATATTTGTTTCAGGAAAATTCATTAATAAATAAGCATATTCCACAAATACACCGGATAAAGCAAAGGTAATGAGACTCACATTTAGCAAGTCAATACTAAGAATAACAAATGACTTTTTATGGGATTTTCCTGGTTTTCTGAAAGGCCCCATAAATCTTCCTTCACCTACTTTTATCCATGACTGTTTGCTCCTGATTAAAAATTCATCCTCCTACAATTAAAAATCAAATCAGTTACACAGATTTACAAAAAGATGATGAGGATCTGAGCAGCAAACATGGGCGGGGGTCTCTGGACTGTCCAAATTCTCTTACTGTCCCACTGAGTCGAGGATGCCCCCTACTTCTCTTCTCAGGGGCCCTGGGTACAGGTGGGATTGGTGGTCAGGGATGGAGGGGCTTTGAGGAACGCTGCCATGGGCTATGCTGAAATGGTTCCCCCATTGGCTTTGGCTTCTGCGCCCTGCAGTTCCCACAGGGTCTGGCACAGAGGAGGGTCTCCAGTGAATTAGCTGAATCATGATCGGCCAGGGACAGGTCATATTCGTTTTGCATAACAAAAATTATCCAACTGTCCCAGAGATGGAGATTTTATTGGATTTCCAGGGCTTGATGAAAATATGCCCCAAGCTTAGAATGCATCATGGGAAGAGGAGTTTTGAAATCTCGCTGATCTGGTTGAACCCAAGCACTACATTTGCAAACCAGCCACAGGACCTTGCACAATGTACTTTGGAGTAATACCCCTGAGTCCTAGGTTTTATCAAGTGGCTACCATGAATACACTATCATGGAATACAATACCCTCCATGCCAGTTCACAGGATAGGTAAGAGGTAAAATAAAGTATGTGTAAATAGCCTAGCATGGAACCGAAGGAATGAGCGGGTATTCAATAAATATTTAGATTTTCCTTTTAACCCGTGTCTACCTTCTAACTCTTTGACTCTGATTAATTTTACTTCAGATTCCCAAGTAAGCCAAAAAGGGAAAAAAATATCTAATAAGAAGCTCAGAACATTTTTTTTGATTATTTAATACATTACAGAGGAATTTATCAAAATTGAGTGCTGGGGAGAAAGGATGAATAGTTAGAATCTGGAAGATAAACCATTCTCAGCTGCAAATAGTTCTATCAGGAATAAAGGGTTTGGAAATATGTATCCACCTTTTAATAGACTAACTTTTGTTTTAAACTCTTGAATTGTGTGGATCTGAAAGAAAGTTCTCCACTCTCCTTCCTGGAAATTTGAGATGACCATTGACCTGAAAGCAATGTTTTACACAGAGAAGATAATTTATTTGGTTTAAATGAGTTAAAGCCATTTGAGAATTTTTAATTTTTTAATTGACACAATAATTTACCTAATATTTATGGGGTACAGTGTAGTGTTTCAGTACGTTATTACTGTTAGATAGGTTAGATATGCCTGATCCTAACTGCATATACAGGTGCCACTATTTACCAGTCTTGCTAACTAGAAAAAATAAGATATCTTTCCTTTCCCTGACTCTGGGAGAAGGGTGCAGTGCTGGTATCTTCGCACTGTGAACTCGAGAGAGTGTTGTGCACGCTCTGGACATTGTGGACCTAGCAGCACACGGACAAGATCTGAGTTCTTACCAGAGCAGTAAATGCCTTAGAAAGTGGGCCTTGAGCTTGGCACAGACCAGCTTCAGCCTGGAATATCAACTATCACGAACACTGTTATAAATGAATAAGCAACCCAGGATGTACTGATATCCAACCCTTAGGTTCCAGTGTAATTGCCCTGTTGGGGTCACAAAGTAGTGTCACACAAGCTGTGTGTATGGAGTGGGGCTCCCCGGGAGGTGTGAGCACCCCCTTGACAGTTGTTGAAGGAAGAAGTAAATTCTGAGAGAGGAACCAAAGACTTGCAGGTGGGATCCTTACTAGGTTGCAAGCAAAACATTTATCCATCTCTCAGGGCCTCGTGAGGCCTTTGCCTGACCTCAGATTTGTCCTGGGTGATTCACGGAAGAGGAGCCCTCCTGAAGGCGGAGTGCAAGAGCATGGTGGCGGCCATGAAGAATCACTGTGCCTGGAATGAGCCACAGTAATGAGAGTACTGGGGCAACAGGTAGAAAGACAGGGACCAGTTCGAGAGCACGGATCCGACAGCACCAGCAGATGTCTCCCAGTGCAGCAAAGCACTTTTTGGACAAGGTTCCAGTCAGTAATGAGTAGTACAGGAAGCCCAACCACACCTTATAGTCTCAGATTCCTTAGGACTAAATGCTGCATTTATTCGTGAGTTGTTTCCTTAACGATGCTCATCTCAACTGACCTAGTTAAACTAGTTTCCAGACCACCCTTTCTACAGAGCAAAACAAAAAAATTTTTTTAAATAAAGAGCAGAATTTGAACAGAGTGGACTATGTATACAGTACCTAATCATCAGAATCTGGCGTCTCCATCAGTCTAGCCAGTGAGTCAACCTTGAGATTTTATACTTGCTTAAAAGATTTATTTCTACTTTGTACCCTTTCACACAAGCAGTGAGAAAGGGGAAACCTGTAGAGTCCAGGGCAGTCATGGTATTTATTCACCAGATACCAATTATGTCTTCACTATAAACATGATCCTGAGTTATGCCTCAGTAGCAAAACCAGCTCTGTGTTTTATGCATAGAGGAAGCCCATGAGATCTCCCAAGCTCAACTCAGTTGGAAGGAGGGTGTTGAAGTGAGGCTGCTCACTCTGCGCCCGATCACATTTCCAGACACCAGCTCACCAAAATAAGCAGAGGATAAAACCACTCAAAGGCATGGCTAATGCACAGGATAAACACAAGCTACTGGGAAGCAGTGCAGGATTAGTAATAAGCGGGAGGCAAGGAAGAAAGCAAGCCCTGTTGGACCTGAGGAAAGGAATCACATACCACTCAACTGGGGACCACCGATGTTCACCAAGGCAGGTGCATGGGGCATGTTCAGGTATTAAATCACTACCAGGGCTCAGGGCCTGGGTAAGAAGGCATTTCCACAGACAGATTCACACACTGCTTATAATTCCTCAACAATGTTCCATGTTCTGCAGTCAGAAAGATCAAGGAAATAGTCCAGCGGGGGTGGGGGGAACTAAGCATATTTATTTCTCTCTGCTAAATGAAGTGGCATTTATATTTTCTCCAGTGCCATAAAAATGCCTCTGTTGTTTCCCATGATGTTATATAAAACACGGTGGAAAGAGAGTTCTTGCTTATGCAGGCAGAAGCATGGAGGGATGGAAGTCGAGCTTCCCACGGACCATGTTCTGGGGTCTTATCCAGGAATCTGGGAGGAAAAACAAAGACCACAGTGATGAGCTTTAGAACTTTCAGTCCCATCCTCTACAGAAGTCCTTGAATCCGGGAAGGAGAGATTCTCCAACCGTCCTTACGCCTTAGGTCTGAAGAACTAGGGCTTCAGTCTTCAAAAGCCATTTTGGGAATAGAAGGAAGGAGGAAGAGAAAGGAGATATTGTTCCTGTGTACATTTGATCCCCTCCAGAAACCAGAAGCTAAACCACAGGCTCTGCTTCTAGTCCTGTTTGGAGCACCAGGCAGAAATTCCCATGCTGTAAGGAGGAGTCATTTGGGAGATGCATCTTTGTAATTTCACAGAGGAACACCTTCAGTTTTCTTCCCACTGCTTTGGAAAATGTGTTAGAGCTCTGTACCATGAACTAAGAGCTAAATATTTTAGTCATCTTTGTAATACTGTAGTAAAATTCCTGAAATTGTCTATTTTAAAACAAAAAGGGTAATTGTGGCTCAGGGTTCCAGTGGTGTCAGTCCCTCGTTGCTTGGCCCTGTTGCTTTGTGCTTTGTACAGCACAGCACATCTTAGCAGCAGCACATGGTGCAGGAGACTCACTTCATGGCAACTGGGAAGCAAAGAGAGTGAGGAAGGTGCACCCACAATGACCTGACTTCCTTCCACTAAGCCCTGCATCCTAAAGGTTTCACCACATCCCAACAGTACCCCGGGCTGGCAACCAAGCCGTTAACACATAGGTCTTTAGTGGACACCCACCCAAACCATAGCACTGTTTTCCTATCACTTCTGAAGAGAGAAAAAGAATCCCTGCAGTAGTCCCCAGAGCAAGGAGAGACTAGTATGTCCACAAATCAGAGCAAGACTTGTGGGAAACGATTGCTCTGTGCACACAGAACCACTGCAAGCACCTCCAGCCCATTTTCCTGGGCCTGTGCTGCATTTGACGCTGGTTGCCTACCTCTGCTCAGTTACTTTGCTCGGGGTGGAAGAAGACAAGCCCAGTCCACCAGGAGCTCACAGAGTGCAACATAAAAGCTAAGCGTAATCTGTTCAGATCACAAATTAATGTAAGAAAGAAACGAAGAACTCCAAACCAGGAAGAAGAGGGGGGAGTCAGAACTTATCAAGGACAGGTGCCCCCTGTAGAGTGTGCACCTTCTGTTCACACTGACCTGCACTGAACATGCACAGAACAGACCAGGAATATTCCCCTGCCTAACACCTTCTCTTCACTGGAACTACCTACCTCCTCTCCACACATTACCTCCTAACAACGTCCATGAAGACATAAAAGACGTGGTTGGCAGAAAATATTGCTGCAATGTGGGCTCAGATTATCAAGGTTTTTGTTTCAGCTGCTACCTTCCCTTGTGAACTCAAACAAGTGATTTACCTTTCTGCATCCCTTTTTGCCTCTACAAAATGAAAGGAATTTTGGAGGATCTCTGAGTTTCCTTCCAACTTTGGAACTCTTATTAGTCAGCTTTCTATCACCACTAGAGGCAATCAATTTAAAAAGGGCAAAAAATGGAAACAAAGTCTTTGTAAATAGGGAAGGGCAGAGGGGATGAAGAGAGGGCAGGGATATGGGGAAAAAGTAAGAACCAAGACACATCATGTAAAGGTACCAGATCCCAATGATGAATGTAACTGTACTGTATACCTAAAAAGTACCAATAAACTTAATGAAAAAGTGCGGGGGGAAGTATTTTGGCTCTCAGTTTTCTAGGTTTCAGTCCATGGTTGGTTGGTATCTTAGTTACTTTTCTCATTGCTGAGACAAAATACCCAACAACTAAAGTTAAAGGAGGAAAAGTTTATTTGGCTCAGAGTTTGCAGAGGTTTCAGTTCATAACCAACTGTCTCCATGGCAGGGTGGTGTGGCAGAGGGGCATTGCAGACCAGGGAGGATGCAGCAGAAGACAAGCACTAGCAGCAAGAGACTTCAGCAGCCCTCTTCCTGTCCCTTATATTATATCTAGATTACCCATCCTTAGGGTGAGTTACACTCACACCCAGGGTGTGGCACTCTTAATCCCAGAATCACACCATTAATCTCAGTATCACACGCTCTAGATCCAGCCACCCCCAAAAAGGCACCCTATGAGACTTTCAGGGGACATCTAGATACTACTGGAATAGTTGACATGTTGCTCTTGGGCCTGTGGCAAGGAAACAGATCATTGTAGGAACACAAGACCAAGAAAGCTGTTCACCTTGTAGAAGGAGAGAAAGGCGAAAGGTTCCGCAATCCCCCAAAAGCACACCCCCAGGAATATAACTTCCTCCCAACAAGCCCAGTCTGAAAGTTTCCACCCCTCCAACAACACGAGCTAGGAACCAAGGCTTCATTTAACACATGCGCCTTTTGGGAATGTTCCAGATCCAAACTACAGCATCCTCTACCTGTTAATGTAAAATAAATCATTGCAAAGACCTCTAAGAAGACCCAAGAAATGAGGAATATAAATATGCTTTATTAATCACTGCCCAAGTACCAGGAATTTCCATGGAGGCATAGTCCAGAATACAACAGGAAAGAGAAGCAAGGGTGGGCACTTCTTCCTTAGGCATTCTGTCACGATTACGAACCTCTGTTCAATTTTATTTTGAGTTCAATCACATTTTTCATAAGTGTCAGGATGTTCTGCACATAATTTGCATGCACATATATAGTTATGCATTTTGCATTAGGTTCTTAGCAGTATTTCCCCCACATAATCTTTGGTGCAGAAAATTAATACATAGCTAGGAACTCACCAACTGCTGCTTTAGAAGAGAGGCCCCCTTTAGGGTGACAAGACTCAATCAGAAGGCATCTGATGTGTTCCTGCTACTTCTTACGTGCAGGGCTGAACAAGCACTGCCAAAAAAAAAACAAAAAAAAAAAAAAAAAAAAAAAAAAAGAAAGTTTGAATGTGGGCCCGCTTTCCAGGTGGAGAGAGACAGTTGAATCAGTAATCCAATAATGTAATTCAGACAGATAGAATACTGGAATATTTAACTTTAGTTAGACAATTACTGCTGATGGCCTTTTTCACAGTATTTTTGCAAATGTTTTCCTATCTCTTTCAGGACAGTGTCCCATAGAAATGATATTCACTGATTCCAGGCCAAGTCTTTTAAGCAGTAGTTCTTGTTTAGTGTCATTTAGTTCTTTATATATTTTTTGCCTCTGTGATTAATAATGAGATATGATCTGTGTAGCTGGCATCAATTATTTCATACCCCATTCTAGAGTTGGTTGTTACTACCACAATGAAAGGCTCTCAGCATTACAACCAGCACTGAAATATTTGAAGTGTACTCTCTATCTCTCTCTGCCATCTAGAATAAGAAGCCAGATTGTAATAATTTTTGTTGTGCTCTGTGGGAAAGGAAGTACTGTCCTTCCAGAAAGTGCATGTGATTTTAAGAAGCCAGACTGAATGTAGTGACCTTGACATCCAAATTAGTGTCCAGAAAGTAAACAAAGCTCTTCCCATATGGGATCAAGCTTGCAGTTATTGCTAAATACTAGATAAGCCCAGGCACAAATCTAATTACTTGCTATCTAATCTGCCAGCCTCAGTAAGTCACCCTTCATTACTTGGGGGCATCTGAAATTTACAAGACTATTGGAAATGCTGAAGCCCTGAACACCGTGATTACTCACAAGATTCTTCATCACACCCCGCTTACGCCTGAGCAACTTGAACGGTTCCATTTTCAATTCTAATCCTGCACTTTCCAAGGAGAAGCAGAACATTTCTAACCAGAGAAGCCTCAACTGCTAAGAGTTTGAAGCACAAATGTGACCTCAAAATCATACCTATGAAAGTTTCAAATATTGTTACTTGAGCCAGGCATGGTGTTACCTGCTCGCAGTCCCAATACTCTGGGAGGTCAAGTCTGGAGGATCACAAGTTCAAGCCCAGCCTGGGCAACTTAACAATTTAGCAAAACACTATTTCTAAATAAATAAATAACAAATAAAGGTGGTTGGGAGTGTAGTTCAGTATAAAGAGCCTGGGTTTAAGCCCCATTACTCAAAAATCATTTTTTACTTGAAAATTCATAAAAATTATAATATTAAAAAAATGATGAGAGCCAGGCATTTAGCTCAGTGGTGCCGCCACCTGCCTCGCACAGCCAAAAGACATAGATTTTTTTTTTTTTTTTTTTTTTTTTTTTGTACCAGGGATCAAACTTTGATCCTTGCACTTGCAAGGCAGGTGGAAGAACCACTGAGCTAAATCTCTGGCCCCAGTATCCAGAAGAAAGGGAGAGAAAGAAAGAACAAGGAGGGAGAGAGGGGGGGGAGAAAAGAGGGAGAGCAGCCAGGCAGGTGACAAAGCCAAGTAAATGCTAATTCCCCTTATGTCCTCAGTGTACACTGTGTGCATGTGTTAGACTTGTACACTGAACCCCACTAATATGTACAATTAATACCTGTTAAATAAAATTTTAAAAAATCATAAAAATTACAGCACAAATGCATCAGCCATTTCTGTTTTTGACCTCTGATATATCCCACTTTCTCAAATACAAAAGAGGGAAAGTTAGGAAATTTTCATCAACATTTTCTAACAGAAATGAATGAAACAAAATTAAAGTGTGAAGGCTAAAATTTGACACTTTTCAAGCTATCAAGCTGGGGCATAGCCTTGATCATGCACAAACTTGTCTTGCTTGTCTATAAAATGTGAATAAGAATATCTATCTCTTAGGACAGCTATGAAAATTAAATCAGATAATAGGTGTAGAAATGATTATTAGGAATAAAATGGAATTATTACACGTGTTGGCCATTATTAACATCTTTCTTCATTTACAAAATCATAATGCCAATGTATGTATGGCCCTAAATTAGGTACCTCAATAGATCAGGAAAGTACAGTATTTTAATTCACACACATTATAGTTCCTTGGAATTCTATCTGTAACACTAAAGGGCACTAGTTTTAGATTAACTAATATGGTTCAAACATTAAAAGCCACAGGAGCCCAAAAATAGTCTAGAAATCTTGCCACAGTGACCTCTGAATAATTAAATGAATAAGCCAAAGTCCATCCCAAAGAGGCACCCCAATTCTACAGAGAGACAGGCTTCGGTGTGTAACTTTACCCTGGGCTTTCTATGTTTCACTGATACTTGGACAAAGACTTCCTACTCCATGGAGAAAGCCCTCCAAAATTATCTCAGAAAGTTGAGGCTGATATATTTTTTTTTTCAAAGAAATATACTTTGCATCTTCATTGATGGTGCATGTCTGTCAGGTAACAGAGCCTAAAATCAAGACCAGACCAAAACCACAAGCCTTTGTTGTAGGGATGATCTGCCAGGCTATCTCCGAACAAAGGAGAGCAGCACAGCCCATCCGACAGGGAGAGCTCTTACAGGAGCTGGGGTGGGGCTTATAGGAGCTGGAGATGGGGTTGGAGAATATAGTGGCTAGGGATTGGAGGAGCCTGTGACATCACTAGTTGCTAGGAGCTAGCAAGTATCAGGTTACTCTTTGGCGGGGTGGGGAGCATGTTGGGAAGAAGGTTGTCTTTTGGCGGGAGAAGCCATGTTTTAAATTTGAAGTGGGGTATTATGGGAAAGAGAAGGCCGCTATTTTATGTAGCAGCCACTTTAAGGCAGGAAAATCTAACGATGTCAAGGTAAAGCAACCGAATATTAAAAGGTAACTGATCTGTAAAACTTCTCTAAGAATGAAATTCCCATGAAAGAATAAAAAGAAACTATGTCTTGAAGGAGGGAGGATAAAGGGAGAAATGCTGCATAATCCATGTTTAGGGTAACTTTTTATACAGAAATTTTGGAATAATTTTTTATTACAGTGTCATTTGGGTTATTTGTATTTCTTTTATAAGCTATGATAGTGTCTTTCTAAAATTATTTTTTGATAAGGAAAATTTTTAAAGCAGATTTTCCGCTACTTCATTTAGGTCAAAAGAGAAAAAAAATAGCAAATCAAAGACATATAGGAAAAGTATCAATAGCAGTTAAGCAACTCCAGGGGTCAGATAGGCTGTTCAAAGGCATATTATATTTCATCCTATTAATTATTATTTGGCTGTTAAAATCAGCACTATTCCAAAAACAAAACAGAAAGGGCCAAAGGAACGGCTCAGTGGTAGAATGTTTGTCTAACACGTACAAGGCCCTGAATTTAGTACCCAGCGTTACCAGAAAGACAAAACAAAATAAAACTAAAATCAGCACTGTGTGTTAAATTGTGATGTACACCATCACAATTCAAGTAAAAGTAATTCATAATCAGCTTTACCATTTATCGTGGACAGAGGGACAGGCAGTCCCTTAACATCTTTCTATACGTTGTATCCTTAAATCCCCCAAAAGTCCTTTGAAGTGGATGCCATTCATAGTCATTCTTTATAATATGGAAAATTAAGGAATTTGCCCAAGGTCACACATCCAACAAGGAAAAGTTTTCAGGCCACCATGGGAGAAATGCAAGCAACCTAACCTAAGACATGCACAGATGCTGAAATGCAGGCAGAAAGCGGCTAATCAGATATCAGTTGATTGTGGGTTTGATAGAACACTATCAAAGTATATTTATCAAGAAAAGTCCCTGTCATATGTATTTTTAGAGATTTGCTCTTAGAAACTGCCAACATTTAGACTAAATTATACAATGTTATTTGAGTAAATCATGTCAGATAGCTAGACAAAGCCTAGAATAGGAATCTAGGTCTATTTCTAATAGGCCATCCGTTTTCTAACATCGCTTTATCTTGGAACAGCTAAATTACATAGAGAACCGGTATCTAAGACGAAGTAGTAAGGAGAATCTCTCCTATGTTTAATACCCAATGATTTAAGGGCAAAATAGCACAACCTCCAATTCACTTACAAGCTTAGGTTCGGCCCTGGACTAAGTACGAATTGTTTTCATTTTGATTTAATGAAAGAAACTCTTATGAGCAATGCCTTCCTGAGCTACTATGGGCAAATATTTATTTAAAAGAACATATTGATTTGCAGATTAAAACTGACCACACATGAACTTTTCTTTCCAATGACATTCTTATTTGAGATATTGATCAAAGACTTTTCATGCAGAAAGCATTTTTCTTGTCAGTTCAGTTATGCTGGCTTTTGTAATAAGCTAATTTGATTTCCTTTTTTAACCTTTGTTTGATTAGGGGAACAGACATTTGCATTAAAATTCAAGAGAGATGAAGTCTATCATCGATCTCGACTTCCTCGTGGACCTCTTGTACTCAGGGAAAGATGATTTAGAGAATGTCAAGAGTCTTGGAACAACCATAATGAGATAGGAAAAAAAAAATCACTTCAGACTTATAAACCAGCGAGGGCTTATTTGACAGAAAGGGCAATTGCATTTGGTAGATACGTTTTAGAGAAATCAAATTCAGGAAGTTTAATTTTGTTCTTAGGCCAAGTCATTAAAAGATCTATGGGATAAGCTACCATTAATAAAGTATTTGCTGGTTAAACCAAAACATTTCATAACTGCTGAAGAGGTTAAACAAAACATGCATGCTCTCATTCGTCTTGAAGTTTGTTACTTATTACAAAAGAGGGAAAGTGAATTCTTGATATTTTTATCAACATACGTCTGGTGAGACATTAACCTTGGACAAGTGTGTGCGTTAATCCTTTATTGCTTTCTCTGAGAGCTGTGAGAATCGAACTCGTGTAAACCCAAGGCTTTCACTAGGGTGCTGGGCTTAATCTCCTTTAACAATGGGACTCAAAGCTATTTGCAATTTCTGTGGATTTTGCCCTGGCCTCTGTATCCTTTTCCATGACTGAAACTGATGTATTTTGTGGCCTCAATAGCATAGATGGATTGCTCATTCCTATAATCACCCTCAAA